AAAATATATAGTTTAAAAATAATATATTTTAAATTTAATCTTATACGTGTCAAACAAATTATTTTTAATTTAACATTTAAATTTTTATCAAATAATTTTTTAACTTAAAAATTTTAATATTTAATTTTTAATTTTCAATATCAAATGCCATCATCAGTCTTTCCCTTAATTTTGTCAAAATATCTCAAAACACTGTAATGATAAGTCACAAATGAGATATGACAGGTCAGTTGATGTCGGTAATCACTCCAGGTCTAGATTTGTGTTGTGTGGACAAAAACATACGAAAACCATATGGTGCAGTAATTAGGGGTGGGCATATGTCGGCACGGCCGGATTAAGCGGGATCCGCATTTGTATTTATTTAAACTCGGCATTTATTTAAACTCGGCCTGGGTCGAACATTACACCATCTCCAACGGTGAACCAAACCCAGCATCAGATTTAAATTTTGATGAAAAACCTATTTTTTCACGCTCCAACGGTTTCACCAAATCGATATCAAATCCAGAATTCAGCAAAAATGGTACCAAACTGAGTGCAGGCGAAGCATTTCAGCAAATCACTGTTCCTAACCGTTGAGATGAGACGAACAGGTTGACCATCCGGTTGACCAACCGGTCGCCCCGGAGAAAGTTCAGACCGTTCACAAAAAGGTTCAAACCAGTAAAAAAAAAAAAAATAAATAAATTTTGCCTAGGTGGTCGACCACCCGGTCGACCGCCAAAAGTTCAAAAAATTCAAAAAAAAAAAGGTTCAAACAGGTAAAAAATAAATAAATAAATAAATTTTTTTTGCCGTTACCGGTTGACCGGCCGGTCAACCAACCGGTTGCCCAGCGCAAATTTGATGAAACGGATTTGATGTTGAACCGTTGGAGCGCGAAGTATCAAATTAAGGAAATGACCCATTTTTCACTCAAATTTGGTGAAATATTTGGTACACCGTTGGAGATGCTCTTAGGTCTTTATATTTGTGCAAAATTCATCTAAAAAAATAATTATAAATCTCAAATTTATTTATCTGATTATATGTTTTTTTTTAAATTTATAATTAAATTTAATTACACATTATATTTCTTAAATAAATATGTGATAATATTATAAATTGAATTTTTTTTAAATAAATTCAATCAACTATCACTACAAATGTGAATTTTAATAAAATTAACAAAAATAAAGTTTAGATCCTAAAAAAAATATAGGGCTCGTTTGGTTTGATTTTCTGAAAAAATTTTGGGAAATTTTCTCTACAAATAAGTTTTCAAAAATAATGAAACCAAACAAATTTTCCCAAAAAAATTTCTCAAAACTTGTAAACCAAACAAGTTTTCCAAACAAATCTCTCTCTCACACATATCAAATCAATCACTTTTTCCAAAACTCTATCTCAAAATAATTTTCCAAAACATCTTTTAAAAAAAACTAAACCAAACATGTTTTCGTACTTTTTATCTCTAAAACACATCTCTCAAACACAAACCAAACATACCCATAGATTTTAATATATTATAATTAATTAATTAATTAATTTAATAATTGACTGAACTAGGTCTAGTTGAGTTGAAAATATAAATTTCATAGCTAGTTCATTAATATATTGGGCCAAAAATATTGACCCAATCCGATTCTATGATCTAAAATAATTTTTCTCAACCCTAAAAAAATACTATTCAGTAACTTAAATCTGTAATCCAACAGGTACACTAAATAGATTAACAACTTCTGATTAAAATTATAATCTATTAAACTATTAAACTATCATCTATAACCTATTTTAACAGTTGCATCAAATAAGACCCTTGGCCACATCATTCGTAGTTATCAGTATGGTTTGTATTTTTAGTATTTAGTAAATTTTTTAAAGATTTTTTTTCACAAATATTATAATTTTTAAGTGTATTTATGTTAGGTGTGTTTAAAAATTAAAAAATTACTTAAAATATTAAAAAACTTAACTGAAAACAAAAAAAAATACGAAAAACGAAAAAATAAAATTTTTTGAAATGTGAATTCTGAAAACTGAAACCAAACAGAGTAATTTTAACGAATTTTGCATGCATGAGAACATGAGGCAGGAGAAACTAGAGTCAGATTTTGAGAAAAAAATAAGATTAAATCAATTGAAGTAATTCTTGATAAAAGAACAAATCAAATCTTGTTGATATAGAACAAATTTTGCATGCATGAGAAATAAATGAAAGAATAACTTGTATTAATAGTTTTTTTTTTTGTTTTTTTTATTGACATTATCTTCTTTTTTTTGTTTGTTTTTTTCATGTACTTAACAATTTACAATCCAATGTTATGAAATTGGATTTGGTTTCCTCCATTAGAAAACCTCCCTATTAATTAATACCCAATGTCATTAATTTTCAAATAACACGATGCTAATTAAGAAAAATTATTGAGCAATTCCAATTCCAGATTGTGATGTAAATTTTTTATAGAGTTACGGTAATTTGTGATTAAAAAATTAAGTTACGTATTTTTATTATAATATTACACAATTTTTTGATAATGTTTCACATTTTGTAGTAATGTTACACATTTTATAATTCTAAAAATTTTTGAGAAAAAAATGTGTTATCTTACTTAAAAAATTCGTAATATTACTGTAAAATGTGCCATTTCATTTCTCTAAATCATAAAACTTGGAAGTAGTGTGTGCGTACACCCACACAAGTAATTTTCTATGCTGCCATACACCACAGAAGTTGTTGGATCCCACTTTTTAAATCAATTAAAATGGAGGGAGAAATCGGATCAAGGAATACTGTTGTGACCAAGTGATAGTAGCGCATCATGTGCTCGGTGAGGGCTTTTTTTTTTCTCTCTTTTTTAATAATTCAAACTGTTCATATTATAGAGTTCATTGAGTAAATTATCCATGTAAAAAAATCAGGTTAATTGAACATCTATAACTCCGTAACAAAAATACATTTGTTTTTTAAAAATTAAACGGTTAATATGATCTTGATAATTTTTTTAAAATACTATAATCTCATCATAAAATTGTAGATTTCTGTGTAATTTAATTTTTTACATAAATAATATGCCCAGTAAATTTTATAATATCAACGATTCAAATTATAAAAATAAATAAAAAAACTACTGGAGGAAACATTACGAACCGCAAATCCGGATGGACACTTTTTTTTCTTTTTTTTTTTTAAAGCAAGGGAGGGACCAAAAAAAACAAAAAAATCTTGCCACCGACCCGACGGATCTGGGGATGCTCTGCTGTGACGGGCTTTTCCTAATTTTTTTTTTATGTTCTGAACCGTTTGTATTGTAGAGTTTGTTTAATAGATCATCTGTGCAAAAAATTAAATTGATTGAAAATCTATAACTTTATAATAAGAGCACATTTATTTTTTAAAAAATAAACGGTTGACATTATCTTGATAATTTTTGTATAACAATTTGAGTCTGATCATTGGATTATGGATTTCTGATTAATTTGATTTTTTGTATGGATGATAAACTCGACGAATTCTGTAATATGAACACTTCAGATTATCGAAAAATACTCGGAAAAAGCCTCCATGGGCTCACAACAGATTGCTGCTTTGACAGCATCTTCAGATCCCCGACGTCACTGCCACATTCTATACTTTATACTTTACTTCGAATCAAATTAATGCTTTTCACATCTTGAAAAAAAAAAAAAGAAAAAGAAAAAAAAAGAGTGAAATTTGGAATAAAGAAAAATTTTAAAAGGGTAAACTACACCGACCTTGAGATTTGAAAAAAAAAATATAACAAGTTTATAATTTTGATATAATTACATTAATAATAAACGGTTGACATTATCTTGATAATTTTTGTATAACAATTTGAGTTTGACCATTGGATTACGGATTTCTAATTAATTTGATTTTTTGTATGAATGATAAACTCGACGAATTCTGTAATATGAACAGTTCAGATTATCGAAAAATACTCGGAAAAAGCCTCCATGGGCTCACAACAGATTGCTGCTTTGACAGCATCTTCAGATCCCCGACGTCACTGCCACATTCTATACTTTATACTTTACTTCGAATCAAATTAATGCTTTTCACATCTTGAAAAAAAAAAAAAGAAAAAGAAAAAAAAAGAGTGAAATTTGGAATAAAGAAAAATTTTAAAAGGGTAAACTTCACCGACCTTGAGATTTGAAAAAAAAATATAACAAGTTTATAATTTTGATATAATTACATTAATTATTTTTTTAATAAGGTGAAATAGACCAACTAATAAATGATATGAAGACACATAGTTTAGTGTAATAAAAGGAGGAGCAACTGTTAAATAAATTAAAATCATAACAAAGTTTAGTATAATTACGTCAAATTTGTGGGAGTTATTATATTTTTTTCAAATTTCAAATGAAGAGGTGAGTAAAATTTATCCAATTAATTAAATAAAAATGTGTACTATATGTACTTATATGTGAGATAGTGTGAAAAGTGCTTTTAGATAGGCAAATTTAAGCTGAAGATATTCCTCATATATATGCAATATGTACACACTGAAATTCTTTCCACACCATTCAAAATATTCCTCATAAATATGCAATATGTACACACTGAAATTCTTTCCAACCATTCAAGAGTTTTTGGTAGTGAGCGCAGAGTGCATTGTGGGAAGCTCTTGATTTTCAGCATTCACATTCTCGTGCCATGCATGTACTACCTATATTACTTGTTTTTTTATTTTATTATTGCCATTATTTCTTCCATTGGTTTACATTATCTATCACCTTAAAAAGTCTTTAATTAATTAAATTTTTGTATTAAAAAATCTTTACAAAATGAAATTTTAACCCTAAAGATCTGTCCTAGTTATTCCTATATTTATGTAGTTAAAGCTGTTATAAATATGTAATCTCGTGCTAATTACTGCAAAGTTAATGGGTGTAGATATGTTTAATGGGTGAATTTACCATATTAAGAAAGAGGGATCGTTTGTTTATTTGAGGTTTCATTCTTTTGTTTGACTTGTTTGTTTTTGCAGATAGACAACGATTCCAAAAATCATATTCAAGATCAAGACTCAATTGCCAAGAATATAGTTTGAGGAGGTATGTATCTCAACAACACATCCATCCATATCTTTTGTTGTAATTCATTCTTAGTGAAAAATTTACTATATTTATGAGAATTGCAACTTGGTGTAGTGTTAAATCATAAATTACAAATCACGTTCATATATAGCTAGATTGCTTTCTATGGGTTTTATTATATTTTTATTTTCTATATCTGTGAAAGCATGCATACAAACATTCTTTCATTTAAAATTGCAAACATTGTAACAAGTCAGTATGAAATACATCAGATGTGCAGCAGATTCCTTCGTGTTTTTACTGATGCCATACTTGCAAAGATTATATAATTTTCAATTTTGATGTCAATACTATTTTACACTTCCAACATACAAAAAAGATAATGACTATGGCTTCGTTTAGTCAAGAAGTTGACTAATTTAGTAGGCTGTTTTAGTTTTTGGCTATTTTAGTAGGCTAAAATTGTTGTGTTTAGGAAGAAAATTGAATTTTTTTATACTTGGATATGATGTTTATGAGAGAAAAAATAAAATAATTATAGACTTGGTGTATCATTTTGTCTTATTGACTATTTTAATCAATTGTGTTTCTTTGTTAATTTTAGCCCAAAAAAAGCCCAAACCCAACTTGCCAAACAAGGCTTATATATGCCAGGCAATATACATATATATATATATATATATATATCCTTTATTGTATTTCTTTGAACTTTTTCAAGTGCAGCTAAGGGAATGAAGATTTACCAATAGTGTTTATTTTTTTATTTTTTTTATTTTTAATTTTTATTTATTGTGTCATGGTTTTTCAAAACTCTTCATTCTAAACAATATATGTATTAGTATTTGTAATTCCTTATAGATTTTATTTACGCATCTATTAATTTTTTTAATAAGAGTAAAATAGGCATTTTAAAAAATTAATTTATTATATTAGTTTTTTGGTAAATTACAAATATACTTCCTAAAGTTTACTTAAAGTATAGATTGTCCTTTGTGATTTGAAAAATTAAAAATATCCCTTTGTCAGAATTTTTTACTTAATAGAATTAACTAAAAATAAATAAAATTTATAATTGCTTACTTTACCTAAATAATTAATTGAAACATATTTCAAACATTATTAAAAATTGTTAATTGACTTGATAATTTATTAATAAAAGTGACAATTTGTTATGAAATCAAAAACCTTAAAGGGTGGAATATAATTTCTAAAAGTATAAGCGCGATTTGTATGTTAATCAAACATAGGGGATGTATTTGTAATATATCTTAATTTTTACGTTAGTTGACTTAACAAAATGATTAAAATAAAAATTTAAATTTTAAGAAGAGAAATATAATTTCTTAAATGTGAAAAAGTTACTTGTATTAAAAATACATTAATAATTCAAAAAAGTGTTAGTGTAATTTACCTAAGAGTAAAATATCAACTTAGTTATGCAACATCACAGCTTTTTGCATATGGCCCAACTGTCGTTACCTAAATGCGACATTTGGTATTTATTTGATAGAAAATTTAGGATTTTTAACATTTTTCATAGTCTATGAGTAATGCTAGGGACGTTAAATTTTTTACTAAACAAATGACTTAAGAGTAAAATATCAACATAGTTATGCAACATCACAGCTTTTTGCATATGGCCCAACTGTCGATACCTAAATGAGACATTTGGTATTTATTTGATAGAAAATTTAAGATTTTTAACATTTTTCATAGTATATGAATAATGCTAGGGACGCTAAATTTTTTACTAAACAAATGACTAAATGTTTCATATAAGTGTGGGATCCGCAATTTTATAGACTCTACACCCATATAAGATATTTAATCATTTATTTCTAACATTTTTCATAGGCTATAGTTGTTGCAATAAAACAAATGCCACATAAAGAAACACCTTGCGTGCCGCCACAACCTTCTAACGTGTCAACCTTTAACCCCCTTGCGTGGCACCACAACCTCCTAACGTGTCAACCTTTACCCCGCCCCTCCACCGCCTCCCACAAAAAAATATAAAATAATTAATTAATTAAAAAAATCATAAACTGCTACTGTTTCTTCAACCTTATCCTCACAATCCCCTATAAAGATAAAGAATAATTTCTTTACTAATTTTTCTCGCAAAAATTTAAAATAGTGTTGCTATTTATATTATTTCTTAAAATAATATATGTATTTTTTTATTATATAATTTTTGTAAAAAATAATAAAATTGCCCTCTTCGGAAATGAAAGGAAAAAAAAAAATTGTAAAGGTTTTGTTAGTAAGGGCCAATTTAAATAATTGAAAAGGTGTAAAGAGATTTATTAACTTTATATAATATAATAAATAAATAAATAATGTATTTGGTTAATAAAGAGTGTAAATAACGCCATCCTTCTTAAAAATAAAAAAATAAAAAAAACTTTAATCACTTTAACCAATGCCTTATGTATTAATTGGACGACTAAACCAAATCAAATCAAATTAAGTCTGAAATTTCATTAAATGGGGTTAGTTATATGAATTTTTCTTTTCTACTCGACTCTATCAACGGTCATTTGATTAGTTAAATTAAGAAGATTCATATTTATATTTATTATATTAGCCCACGTCAATTTAGGTCTACCCCTTCCCCTAACACTTCTATCTATTGTCACTGTATCGCATCTCTTTACTACTGTATCTATTAGTTTCCGTTGTATATGACCAAATCATCTCAATCTATTTTCTCTCAACTTATCTTCTATCGATACTACTCCTATTCATTCACGAATATACTCATTCCTAATTCTTTTTTTTCTAATCTTGATACATATTCACCTTAACATTCTCATGTCAGCAACATTTATCTTGTCTATATGTTGTTGTTTCTTAGTTGCCCAACATTCAGTTTCATACAATATCGTTGGTCTAATAGTCGTTTTATAGAAATTTCTTTTTAGTCTAATGGATACTTGTTTATCATACAGCATCCCAGACGCACTTTTCAACTTAAGCCATATCGTCTTAATTCTATAGACCACATTCACTCCAATCTCCCCAGCTGTCGTGATAATTGATCATAAATATCGAAAATATTTACTCGTAGGTAGTTCTTGATTCTTAATCTTCACTTTTCCTCTCAAGTCCATTGTTACTATTACTAAAATTATACTCCATGTACTCTGTCTTAGTTCTGCTTATCCTAAATCTTATAGATTCAAGTGTTTCTCTCCAATTCTCCAATTTAATGTTAACTTATTCTCTAGTCGCATCCACTAACACGAAAGCATACACCATGACACATCGTACTGAATATTTCTTATCAACAATTGGGTGAGAAAAGAAATAGCTAAATTTTATTATATTTACACCGCAGAACAAAAATTCTTATACCTATTTTCTTATTGCAGCCTCCTTCAAATTAGGATTTTTCACTTTATCTCATCACTCTCCTTATTCCCAAAATTATTCCCATCTCTAGCTTCTTATTTTCACTTACCTCAATCTTCCAAACCTTTAGCTCTATAGCCACTACCACTCTTCCGTCCTCAACCCACCACCACTTCTCTTCTACTTTTGACCACCTCCGCAACCTTCTTCTTCCTTCCAGCATCTCCCAACCCCCTCAACAATTTCGCCTGCAGTTCTCAAACCATTACGACCACCATTCCCACAACCGTCAACCATTACGACCTTACTTCAACTTGCCATCTCAATCTCCCTTCAATCTTAGAACTAACCTTTTATTAGCCCTTCCATACTCCCGTAGGCACCACCCCACAGCCTCCTTAGTCTTATCAAATTTAGGGTTTTTAGAAATGGGAGAAGATCTAGGGTTTACACAAAAAAAAAAAAAGAAAAGAAAAAGGAAGAAGAAGAAGGAAAGTCTAGACAACTATAGCTAAAACACAATGGATTTTTGTTTCGTTACATGGCGTTGACTTAATGCCCAACGTTTGGATTCAAACAATCGAAATCAAACCAAAGGCTTCCATTCAATTCTTTAATGTCTAACCGAAGGTGTTTGTTTAGAGACCAACAACTTAACTTCTTATTCTTCTAGATCTAAAACCCTAAAATCATGAGGATGTGGATCACAAGGTGGTATAACGACTGAGGGGAGGCTATCGATAGGAGAGAGCTAGAGAGTGTGTCATATTGTGATAGGAAATGTTGGTCTTTAGGCCAAGTTTGACATCTACTAAATAATACAAAAAGTCAAAAAGTCACTATCCTATTTAAGTCACATCATCTTATTTAAATCACATTACCTCTGTAACACATCACATCAAACCCAACTCAAACCCAACCCATATATGCCAATAAGTCAAAAAGTATACTTTTTTAGAACATCCCAAACCAACCCTTAGTGAGGAAGATGGCTAGGTGTCAAAAAAAAAAAAATGGGGGTTGAGATGGGAAGGTGAGTTTCCAATGTATGGAGGAATGAGTGGTAGAACAATTGTGATGCTAACGATGGGTTGATGAAGGTTGGAAGGAAGAGAGGGCGGGTATTATTATTATTATCATTATTATGTAATTTTAGTAATTTTATATAGGTATAGAATTGTAATAAAAATAAAACAAGGGTAGCATGAAAAAAAAATTTCTTGTGTAAATAGAAGCTCCCTATTCTAGCACACCCAGTAGGTAATGTCAAAAGAAAATTTCTATTAATATATAAAATTCATATAAAAAAAATTCTATTTATATATAAAATTCATATAAAAAACTTGATAAGAATAATGTGACAATATTATTATTGTAAATAAATTACTTTTAATGGTGTTTTGTTTGAAAATTATGTATGAATTTTTTGTTTGTATAACATTATTTTTGTCAAAATAAAAATAATAAAACATTATAATTTGGTAATCATGCTTCAATGGTAAAAATATTGTTTATTCTATATTTCTTATAAAATGCTAAATTAAAATGATATTTATGGATATTATCATGAGAGAGTTGGAGAAAAAGAGTTGTCCAATTTTGGCAAATGCCATTCTTCATGTTAAATTTGATATAAAATTGGGACAAGAATTAAAAAAAAAAAAAACTTAATTTGGATTGTTTTGGAAACTAGTGATTTTAGTTGATTATTTATTTATTTTGAAAAGACATAGAAAATAATTAAGAGAATAGTTATGAGTTTTTAATTAGTTTCCAAACTCAGAGCTAATAAATAGCACCCTACTTGGTAACTGCTCTACATTTTGGAAACAAAAATACTAGAGACCTTAAAAATTCTATCAAAAATTTTATTAAATGTCTCACATGGCGTGGGACCCACATGGGACCCACATTGTGTGGGTCCTACGCCTATGTGAGACATTTAGTAAAATTTTTGGTAGAATATTTGGAGTCTCTAGCATTACTCTTTTGGAAATGCACGTAGTTTCCGCCAAGAAATGGTGGGACGACTCATTTTCTTGCGTTGCCCAAAGAAGGAACGGAAGTGCTCCGATGTACAGCGGTGTTTTGAAAAATTGGTAAAAAATTAATTTTTTGATATTTTAAATTTATTTTGTCGGATAAAAAATATAAGAGATGATGTGATTTAAAATAGATAAAAAGCTAAAAGTTGCCTTTTTTATTTGGTTGTCACAGCACCCCACTATGCACACTGTATACAATCTTATCATAAAATTATATAAGTTTTTACGAATTTACATAAATGATTTTATATAAATGTGCATAAATTCGTAAAAACTTAAGACATACGCAAATTTATATTTAATTTACGTATTTATATGGGATCACTTTATGTAAGTTCATGAAAATTTACTCAAATTTATGGTGAAATTGCATACGGTGTGTATAGTGGAATTACATATGGTGTGCATTGCACACCGGAGAATTTTCCATGAAAGAAAAACCTCTCTTTTGCTATCCAAATTTGATAGAAACCTTGTAGAACATTTTAAAATTATTTTTTATTTTTGACTGATTACAATTAGGGTTTAAGAAAAATAAAAAAATCGATGGAACCCAACTGATCAATCAAAATCAATTGAAATTCCAATTTTTGGCTTGTTTTTTTTTTTATAACATGCAGTTTGTTTTAGTTTAATTTATTATTATTATTATTATTATTCTTATAGTGATGCAAATCAAATTGATTAAATATTATGTTTAAATATTTTTAAATTTTAATTTTTTGAGCATTATAAGATAAGTGACTAATAGAATACATTTTTGTGATAAAAATTAGGAGAAAATATTTATAAAACAATTTTCATACATTTTTTTTTATTTTCAATGTGAAATATTTTAAATTTTTATAAAACCCTTTAAAATCTCACATCAATCACTCTTTTACATTAAATCAACAAAATTAATAAAATCAAACCGTAACGTATACTATCTATTGATTCGTATAAAATTTGAAAGGTTTAATTTGATGTTAAATTTACTTTCAATATTGATCAAATCAAATCGTTTGTACCTTTAACTGCCTGATTTGTTTTGCATTGTGTAATTTCTCCTCAAGGTGGTGGTAGGAAGTCTTTCTCACTTTAGGGTAGACCTGACCTAACCTAACCAATAAGCCGAACTAACATGATGGGGGTAAAAGGAGATGCTATTGGCCTCGTTTGGGAAGTGATTATTTTAGAAATTTTTTGACTTTTTGATTTTTAAGTTATTTTAATAGGTTATTTTAGTTTTTATGTTTAGAAAGATGAGATGAATTTTTATTTGAATTGTTGTATTGAAAAATGTGTTGAAATGATGTTTGAAATTAAAATGACAAATTTGTCCCTAAGATTACAATTTTTTAAATTGATATAAAGGGGCAAAATTGTAAATAACCAAGTGATGGAACATTTTGTCAATGTGACAATGTAGGCTGTGCCTACACTGTCTGACAGCTGTAGCTATTTTTTCTTTTTTTTTGAAAAACTTTGATTTAGAGGCTTTTTGACTTATTTCACAAATGAGACTATAATAGCCTCAACTCTTTCTTCTCAAACAACGCCAATGTTATATATATGGGAACGCCTATGGTAGGTATCTTAAAAAGATATGTATTATATGTATTTTACAATTAAAAAAAAAATAGTATAATTTTATATTTTTGAGTCATAATTAAAAAAAAAGAAGTCATAACTAAACAACACATGAGGTATAATAAAAATTTTTGTAAGTTATAGCTAAAAAAGAAAATTAGTCATAATTAAAAAAAAAATAACATAATTAAGGATAGATATGATATACCCTTCAAATGGCGTGTATGTTAAAATTTCTGTATATATGTGTGACACACATGGGGGACACTTGCCTAATTTTCTTTTTAAAAAATAGCATAAAATGATAAATTTCAAGGTAAATAACACCTAAACCTCTTAAAAAATAAATTTTTATTTTTTAAATATAATTTCTTTTAAACTTTTTAACTCTAAGAAAATCTATCATATATGCCTCATATTATATGTGATTTTTGTTACGTAATTTTTTTCTTTAGTTATGTCTAATTTTTTTTTTTAATTATAACACTATTTTAAGATATTTGATTATGTCTAATTTGTGTTTGGTTATGATTTTTTTTAATTATAACTAAAAAATATATAATTATATCATTTTCTTGTTCTACAACTATAAAGTGTATAATATTCTACCCACTATTTGAGGGATGATGCCTACCATAGTCATTCCCATTAAGCTATTACCCAAATCTTCAAATGCAAAAACCACCTCTAATTTGAAAAGCAGGAAAAAAAATCATGTTTGGTTTCATTTTTTTAAATTTATTTTTTTGAAAATTTTGAAATTTTTGTTTGGTTATTTTGAAAAGAAAAATGTTTCGTAGCTCAAATTTTGTGGCTCAAATGGCCAAAACGACGTCGTTTTGACCATTTTTATGTTGTCACTATTTGAGGGATGATGCCTACCATAGTCATTCCCATTAAGCTATTACCCAAATCTTCAAATGCAAAAACCACCTCTAATTTGAAAAGCAGGAAAAAAAATCATGTTTGGTTTTATTTTTTTTAATTTATTTTTTTGAAAATTTTGAAATTTTTGTTTGGTTATTTTGAAAATGGGTTAAAGTTTTTAGAATCATAGTATTACTTTTGGAGGGAAATTTGACAACTTTTCAAAATCTTTTTTAGAATGTGACAATTTTTTTATTTATTTAATTGATCAATGTATCTAGTCCCGTCTCTCAACTTTTGGAGGGAAATTTGAAATTGCATAGTGTTTTTTTTGAAAACCAAATATATCCATTTTCAAAATAAAAGTTTTCAAATCATTTTTTTTTTAAAAATAATTCAAAAAAACGAAACTAAATATAGTTAATTTTTTAACTTTTAACTTATAAAAAAAAATTGTAAAATGATAGAATTAATATGATTGAAATAAATCAATAAAGTAGTGACTTTTACCAAAGTAGGCCTCAGCTCTGCAATCTCTGGTATTGTCTACAGCAGTGTATATAAGGGGAAAGTTAATTATTTTAATAGATTAAAATTTTTGTATTTAAAAAAATGATTGATTTTTTTTTATAACTGGATAGAATAATTGTGAAGAAAAAAGTAAAATGATTGTGTGCCCTTTTGAGAACTTGGTAAAAATTAATTTTTTGACTTTTTACCAAGTTCTCCAAAAAAAAGTCAGTTTTTTGTCAAAAAAAAGCTACCAAAAAAGTCAAAAAAGCTAAAATATCAACATTAAGGCCAAGTTTGGGTACTTCCAAAAAAGTCAAAAAGTCAAAAAGTTACTCAAAAAGTTAAAAAGTTAATATTATTCACCAAAAGTCAACAATTACGGCTGCATAACTCCCAATTCAAATTTTTCCCTATAAATCAATTTTTACAATTTTTTATTACACATTTTTCAATAAAAAGTTAAAAATTAACCCAAACATCCATATTTTCAACCTCAATTTTTTAGTCTTTCCAAACTTGGCCTAACTTTCCAAAACATTCCTATAAATTTGGTGTGATATTTTCTTTTATTGACAATTTTAACTTATGGTATCTTTTTATGAATTTTGTTAAAAAAAGAAAAAAAAAAGAAAAAAAAAGGAAAGTAAAAACCCAACTTGCCAAACACGGCCAAGAGGAAATTGCATTAAAGTTTCCGTTTTAGATACATTTCTGGCTAGTCTACTCTAGACTGTTGTGAGGGAGAGAAAGAGAGGCATATGCTGCTTGGTTTTTCCTTGATAAAATCTGGAAGATTATTGATTTTGGTGTTATGTATGAATATGCACAGAGATTGATTGATCGGTGACGGTGAGTAGATAGAGATTAATAAACGGTGTCATCTCTCCTGCGTTACAGAAAAAGGAGAAGTAGTTTTCATGGATGAGACATTCAAGACTTCGCCGTACCGGCGTCACCGCAATGATGTGGAGGCTGGTGATGTGCATGGGGAGGAGGAGGAGGCATGTTCCAGTCCCTTCAATATCTACAGAACAAAGGATGCTTCATTACAACGCCTCCGAAGATGGCGGGTATATTTCCTTCCATTTCTCCTTCTACACTACATTCTTTCTTCTTCCTCTATTGTAAATTTGTATTTGCAACCCCATTCTTCACACTCATGCTCTTACTCTGAATCTATGTATTTGTATTTGTATTTGCATTCTGATTTGTTTTGTTTTGTTTTGTTTTGTTTTGTTTGGGGTAAATTAACCCTAAAACCCTTTGTGTTGTCGTGTTTGGCTGGGATATTTGAAAAGAGATTTAAAAAGGGAAAGGGAAAGGGAAGAAAAAAAAAAAAGTTTCATATTTTTTTTCCAATCCCTTTTCAAATCACCTTCTAAATCCCCAACCAAACAAAAGCGTAATGTATTTGCACTTTGCTCTGAATTTCAAAACTTACTAGATAATAGTATTATTATCCTAAAACAACAATAATAATAATAATAATAATAATAATAATAATAATGGGTATTATTGTCCTAAAAATTTAATAAATGTGTCACATGATTTGATTTTCTATAAATTTCTAACAAATCTTAACAAAAAAGATTAATTGTAATATTATAAATATTTTGAGGGGTTAACTATTGAGTATTGAAGTTCAAGGGGCAAAGTGCAAATAAGTCATAATTCAAGGGCGATTTACCTTTTGTTTTTTGTGCTTTCTATTATGCTATTTTCTGTGTATACATCAGTTTTAATTTCACGATTTGATGTGGGATTGCTTGATTGCTGGTTTATTGTCTGGAAAAGAATGCTTCATTGTCGATACTTCTTTTTGGATTCAACAATGCTCCAGGGACAACTACACACTCTTTGTACTTTAGGGGGTAGTTTAATTTTAATGTGTAGATTTTTAGGTGTTCAATTCTTTTGGATTATCAAACCAAACCAAATCTTATCTTGCCTTGTTTCTCAATTACACACAAATATATATATATATATATATTAGAGATTATTTTGGATTTAAAAGAAAAATAAATTATTGGTGTGCACACAAGATGTATATTTTATCTGGTGTAACCTGAGCAATCACAAACCTTGCAGATTTCTTGGATGGAAGTGTAGGTTTCCAGAGTTGTATCTGGCAAAACCGGCTTCTCTTGATGAAGAGATTTGGGAAATGTTAGAGAGAAAAAACTCGCGCAAGTGTTGCATGAAGCACTTTTAGATGCTAAATAGCTCACAGCCAGAGAAATGGAATTGCACTTTAACAAAAGACAATCCATGACAAATAATGCAGTTATGAGTATATAAATTGAGCATGATTTTGATGTAGGGACAATCCATGACAAATAATGCAGTTATGAGTATATAAATTGAGCATGATTTTGATGTAGGGTATTGTGTCCGGTTTTGCTGTGCAAATTTACAAACTAACATCTCATTCGGTGTTAAGCTCTGAATAAATGTTAATAGCAATAAGTCGTTTGTCTATTTATTATCCAAAACATTAAATACTTAACAATAATAATAATTTTTTTACTGTGTTGGAGGATTTGGGCTGATGCTTATGTGTCTTCCATGGTCAGTATTGCTGATATATAGCTCTTGTCTGAAGTTCAAATATTGTTGGTAACTGATTGTGGCATGACTCTTATCTTGGTTTCTTTGGTGGTGTATAAAAATGTCAATAAATGTTCCTATTATTGGCTATGAATAGTGACAACTTAGCTGTGATGCTCAATAACTAATATTAGTTGGATCACCTGTGTACATCCTTTATCTGTATTCACTATTTGATAAAATGGTAAGGCATCCAATGAATTGGAAATGAGAGAGAAAAGTGAGACAAGATAGAGATACAATAAACGGCTAATCTGAGAAGAACCCAAAATTAAACAATAAATGGCTAATTTGAGAAAAATCCAAAATTAAGGCTCTGTTTGGAAGAACTTTGGAATTGTAATTCCACCTTTTCGTTTGCACGCGGTGTTTGGTTGTAGTTTTCAAAAATTAAATTCCACACCCACTTTTGAAAACTCCTTTCCAGGAGGAAAAATTTGGCTAAACCGGTCGTCCCCCCGGACGTCCCCTTGACTTTCGGCCAGTTGATAGGAACAGTGTACATTTTTTTTTTGGCACTTGTTATTTTTATATTTTAAATAAAAAATATTTCAGGATTTTTTTAAATTTTTTTTATGAGTTTTGAATAGGATTTTGGATTGTGTATTTGGTTATGAGTTGTAAGTTTTTGAATTAAATATCATATGTCGCATCATTCATTTCAAAACTCTTTCCAAAATTCTTTTCAAAACTCATAACCAAACAAATTTTTCATACTCAAATCATAATTCCAAAACTCACAAACTCAAAATACAATATTTAAAAAACTTTACCAAATGCTACCAAAGATTTTCTCTTGTAAGCACATGTATTTGTATTAAAAGGGAGTTGCTATTAGCACCAACACAATTTCTTTGGAACCCCATCTTTCCAATTTTATTTATTTTTATTACAATTTCATCCTCCTTCGAAATTCCATTTCTACCCCTTGTTCCTACCATCCAAACCCTAACCCTAATTTCCCTGACTCAACCATCACCACCACCACCTTTAGCCGCCCCTCCCTAGTTTTGGCTGCCACTCCTCCATCCCTGACAGCTCCATCCTAGCTACTCCCACCTGTTATAGCCCTTTCCAGCCTTCAACTCCCTAGTTTCTTATGCTGCAGTCTAACTCCTTCCACGCCATCACCGCCTTCCGCTGCCACACCTTGCAAAACCCTAAACACCACCACCCATGTGAAACTTTTAATCACCACAACGCACGTGTGTGAGAGAGAGAGAGAGAGAGAGAGAGAGAGAGAGAGGTGCTGGTGGTGGTGGGGTTTGGATGGGTGGCGGAGTGACAGGGTGAGGTTAGGTTGGGGAGGGAGATTCATTGAATGGTGGTGGGGAGGGGTTTGGAAACATCGGAGGTGGGAAGGGAATAGGTTTGTTGGGGAGGAAAAAGGGAGGCTAGAGAAGGAGGTCACCGGTGGAGAGAGTTATTATCAGGGGAGGAAGGTTGTAGTGGCGGGGTTGCAAGTGGTAGGGTTGGTATTATGGTGGGCTTTGAAAGAGAAAAGGAAAGGGAGCAATTTTGGTTGTGAGGTCTAAAGAAATAGGGGGGTCCATAGAAGAAATTGGGGGACAATTAGTAGCAGTCATATTAAAATGGTTCAAATTACATACATACCTTTCAAGTTACTAAAAACTAAACAAAGCATAAAATACATAACATGATATAGCACTCCCTTTCAAGTTAGTGTAAAAATATCTTTCATGCCCAACTTGCAAACTATAGGATGATTACCAAGACCTCTACGCTTTGTTTGGTTGGGAAATTTGGAAAGAGATTTGGAAATGGAAAGGGAAAAGGTAGGTGAAATGTGAATAAAATATACTTACATTTCACCTAGTTTCACACACATTTTCTCTTTTCTTTTGCAAATCCCTTCCCAAATTCCCTAACCAAATACAACATTAGTGAAAATATTAGCCAATTGATCTTTTGATTTCACAAAAGTGTTACAAATCAATCCTTTATTTAAACTTTTAATCAACTTCCTTGATGAAGTGTTTGCCAATCTTAAAATGTTTGGTTATATCATGCTAGACCAGATTATGAGGAATTTTAATAACACCTTTGCTGTCACAATAAAACTTTATGGGTACACTACACAAAAATAGACACCTGGATTTCCTAGTAAAGTATGAATCTAGATAAGCTCAGAAGTACCATGATCGATAGTCCCATACTTAACCTCTGTACTTGATCTAGCCACCACTGTCTACTTTTTACCATGCCAAGTAACCAATTTTTCCCTCCAAAGGTACAATATCCTAAATTAGACATTCTATCGTCAAATGAATATGCCTAATCTTTATCATTAGAAGTATCCAATCTCAAGTGAACATGGTTATAGAACAATATCTCTTTCCCAGAAACTGGCTTGGGATACCTCAAAATGCGATATACTACATCTAAATGCACGGAACAAGGATCATGCATAAATTGATTAATTTGGTCGAGCCTGGGACGAGTTTATGAATCTCTTCACAAGTCTCTGGTACCTCTCCTTACCTGCAATATTACGTCACTGCTAAGACGATGATTAGCCTCAATTAGTGATTCTGATAGCCTATGAGCCAACATACTTGTTTTATTAATAAGATCACGAATGTACTTTTTACAACAACGATGCCTTTATATGATCAGGAAACTGCAATCCCAACCACAAATGGCTAAGTTCTTTGATCTTATATTCCTAAGCTAATCTCACCTTGAGTTGAGTCACTTTTTTCATATCATTTCCTGTCACCAATATGACCATCCAAACCCTAACCCTAATTTCCCCGACTCAACCATCACCACCACCACCTTTAGCCGCCCCTCCCTAGTTTTGGCTGCCACTCTTCCATCCCTGACAGCTCCATCCCAGCTACTCCCACCTGTTATAGCCCTTTCCAGCCTTCAACTCCCTAGTTTCTTATGCTGCAGTCTAACTCCTTCCACGCCATCACCGCCTTCCGCTGCCACACCTTGCAAAACCCTAAACACCACCACCCATGTGAAACTTTAATCACCATAATGCACGTGTGTGTGTGTGAGAGAGAGAGAGAGAGAGAGAGAGGTGCTGGTGGTGGTGGGGTTTGGATGGGTGGCGGAGTGACAGGGTGAGGTTAGGTTGGGGAGGGAGATTCATTGAATGGTGGTGGGGAGGGGTTTGGAAACATCGGAGGTGGGAAGGGAATAGGTTTGTTGGGGAGGAAAAAGGGAGGCTAGAGAAGGAGGTCACCGGTGGAGAGAGTTATTATCAGGGGAGGAAGGTTGTAGTGGCGGGGTTGCAAGTGGTAGGGTTGGTATTATGGTGGGCTTTGAAAGAGAAAAGGAAAGGGAGCAATTTTGGTTGTGAGGTCTAAAGAAATAGGGGGTTCCATAGAAGAAATTGGGGGACAATTAGTAGCAGTCATATTAAAATGGTTCAAATTACATACATACCTTTCAAGTTACTAAAAACTAAACAAAGCATAAAATACATAAC